AATGGTGAGAGGACACAAGCCTGACACTTCTTTTTCCTTATTTTAAATGACCCAATAGTCCCTATTCTGTTGCAGCTACTGTGTCTTTGTCTATGTAGAGGTTCTGCATGAGTAAAATGAAGTGTTCTAAATCCCCATTTCTCTCAGTGCTGTTCATAATCTGTTATAGTCCACACAGTTGAATGCTTTTGCATAATCAATAAAATACAAGTAAATCTCCATCTGATATTCTCTTCTTTCAGTCAAGAGTCATCTGATGTCAGCCACAATATCCCTTGTGCTTCACCCTCTTCTGAATCTGATGCAACAGTTATTGCATGATCGCCAGCTGTATTTTATTTGCATGTGATATTGATATGGTGCTGTAATTTCTGCATCCTGATGGGTCACATTTCTTTGGAATGCAGACAAATATGAATCTCTTCTAGTCAGTTGGCCAGGTAGCTGTCTTCCAGATATCCTGCATAAGCCAGTGAGTGCTTCCAGTGCTTCATCAGCTTGTTGAAGCATTTCAGTTGGTATTCCAACAATTCCTGGAACCTTGTTTTTCACTAATGTCTTTAGTGTAGATTGAAGTTCTTTCAATGCCATTGTTCCTGATCATATGCTACCTCTGGAAATGGTTGAATCTTGACCAGTTCTTTCTAGTACTCTGTATTCCTTCCATCTTCTTCTGATATTTTCTGCATCGTTAGGTAGTTTGCTCAGAGTACCTTTCCATATTGCAACTTGAAGCTTGGACTCTTCTTCTGATATGCAAAGCATGTCCATGTCTTATAGTGTTCAAATTACTGGGTTTTGCACATTTCATTGTAATACTTCACTTTGTCTTCTTGAACTACCCTATAGAAGACTCTCAGCTCTTTTAGTGCATCATCCCTCCCCCCCTCATTTGCTTTAGCTGCTCTATGATCAAGAGAAAATTTCAGAGCCTCTTCTGACATCCACTTTGGTCTCTTCTTTATTTTCTATCCCTAATGATCTTTTGCTTTCTTCATGAGTAAATTTTTTGATGCCATCCCACAGTTCATCGGGGCTCTGTCATTAGTGTTCAATGATTCAAAGTTATTCTTGAGATGTTCTCAAAATTCAAGTGGGGTATACTCAAGGTCATGTTTTGATTCTCTTGGATTATTTTAATTTTCTTCAACTTGAACCGAAACTTACATAGGAGTGATTTAGTATCTGTTCTCAATCAGCTTCTAGCCTTGTTTTAGTTGCTGATATTGAGGTTCTCCTTTGCCCCACCAAACATAACCCCCTAAAAAAAAACCCACCCAAAACCCATTGCCATAGAGTCAATGCCAACTGACTCATAGCAACCCTCTAGGACAGGGTAGGCCTGCCCCTGAGAGTTTCTGAGACGGTAACCCCTTCTGGGAATAGGAAGCCCTGTCTTTCTCCTGAGGAGAGGCTGTTGGTTTCAAACTGTGGACCTTGCAGATTGAGCCCAACTTTTAATCACTATGCCACCAGGGCTCCTCTAGAGATGTAGTTAATTTAATTCCCGTGTATTCCATCGGGTGAAATATATATATACATACATACATATATATGTGTATATATATATATATATATATATATATATATATATATATATATATCTCATTTGTGTTGTTGAAAAAGCAGTATTTGCAATGAAGACATTGGCCTTACAAAATTCTATCATGAGCTCTCCAGCTTTGTTTCCATTACCAAGGCCACATGTTGCAACTACTGTTCCATCTGCTATTTTCAACATTTGCCTTCCAAACATCGATAATGCATCCAACAACAAAGCATTTTTTTCTTAGTGTCCTCGTTTTCAGGTCTGTTGCTGTGAATTTCCTTGGGGGAGTTGGAGTTGCTGACCTATGGATGTGGAGCTGAGTGCCTTCAAGCTGAGGCTTGCTGAAGTGATATACTTCTGGGCACTTAATTCAGGGAGGTGAGTTTGGTAACTCACAGAACTCATGCTGAACACCTTGGGGTTGAGGCTTACAGTGCAGTGGCATTTATTAGCAGAACTGATCAAACTTTGTAATATGTATCAAACTTAATAAACAACTCAACTCTGAGGATTCTCACTGGCATTATAACTTGTTAACTTCCTTAATAATCAAGAATTTTGTCTGTGAGTTCTGTGTAGCCATTACAATGGATATTATATTGAATCCAGTGAGGTAAAATAGAGAACTGTAATTAAGACAACACACTAGCTTTAGTGGTGGGTGTGTAAACTTGAATAATAGGTATATGAGCTGGATTTCCTGTGGGTAGAGATATTATCCTATCACAGACAACATTATATGCCAAGATGGATCTGGAAATGCTCTTCTTGATAATGGATATAATGTCATTCCTCCTGAATTTGTCATTCCCAGCATAAAATGGGAAACTGAGGATCGGGAAGAGAATGTGTGTGGCCAAATTCTCTAAGCTCATAGTCAAGAGTATGGACAGCTGACTCTGGTGGAGAAAGGCCTTCACATTTGTGATAGAGATGACCCCCAGTCACATTCTCCTGACTAAACATTATCCTCACAATATCCCACCATAATAGTGTTACTTAAAGATGCCTCTTACAAGTTCTCATAAACTCTCTGCATGGCCAAAGGCTACCTATCTCTGAGAACAAACAAGTTCTATTCTCCTCACGCAAAGGGCGATCAACTTTCTTCTGCCTGCCCCCACTACTGGTTTTGGATTACTTCTCCAATGAGTTCAAGGACATCTAAGGTTAAGACACTGCCCACCTTGTTACGTATGTGACTGATGGGCTTGCCTGCCCCCAGACTATATAAAACCATTGGAAAATACGTTTTCTTTCTCCAGATCCTGCCTTTGGGCAAGGCGAGCCCTTGTACCCTTTGTCTGTCTCTTTATTTTCCTTCAATTGCACAGCCGCTCCTCACAACCCTTTCAGCTGTGAGGCTGGACCTCACAGGAAACCGTATGCTTGTCTGACTTCATCCCCGTATTATTGCAATTTCAGTTCACTTAATGCCTATGATATTGATCTTTATGGATTCCATTTATTTTGATGATTTTTACTTTTCCTGGATTTATACTTCATACCTCCCACTTTTCAATTATTAACATAAATTTTCAGCTGTTTCATCTCTTTTTGAGTCATGCCCCATTAACAAAATAAAGTTTTCAAAGTTTTTGTTCTTCCAACAAGGCCATGGTATTCAACTCTTCTGTGCGAAAGCAGCTCTTCACCTGTCGTAGTTTGAGTGGTTTCTGATGAGGTGCTCATCTTCTGGCTCTATAAACTGACAGTGTCTTGTTGCTATTCATGTGGTTTTCAGAATATTTAATAATGTTCCACTAGTATTCCAAAGGCTTTAAGTGGCTAATCACTCAGAAATGGACAGCCTAGTCCTTTCCCATAGTCTGTCCTTAGTCTAGACACAGCACTAAGATCTGTTCACCTCAGATGACCATTAACCAGGACAACACGCAAGTCACAACTTGTCTGTCAGTTTTCCATCTTGTGGGCTTCCTTGTTAATAGCCAGAAGGAATATAGACTTAATGCATATGACGACTCAGAATAGATTTTGGACTTTTAATATAACCATAGCCTTCTGTAAAGAATATACTACATAGGCATGACATCCCAGAATAAGACCAGGAGAAAGAGGAAGTTATCTATTCCTGTATAGATTCACAGTCTTGGAAACTCGAGGGTAACAGTTCTATTCTTTCTCATAGGGTTCTGTGAGTGGGTTTGGTTAGTTTATGAATAAACCATTTGAAATACACAGTGACAAATAGAGAATTTATGAACTGACAAACGAGAACATGTATACGTCTATGAAACTAGTAGTACAGTGGGTAAAGCACTTGGCTGTTAATCAATAGGTCTGTGGTTTGAACCCACCAGCCACTCCCTGGGAAATCCCTGTTGAGCAGTTCTAGTCTGTCCCTTAGAGTTGTGAAAAGCTGTAATCAGCTGGATGGTAATGGACTTGGATTTTGTTAACAGGATACACTCAAGATCAGGATAAACCAGGCATAGAGGATACAACTGAGGAGATAGGAGACATGTGGTGAACACAGCTTCCCACCAAGACAGCTCTCAAATTCTTCTTGGCCATACCTGCAAGAAGATCCTTCTTTGGGCTATGTCTTTAGATCACCTACCCTCAGCTGTGTCTGCTGCCAGGTGCTTCTCTCACTCCTGCTAGCTGACAGACTCTGCTACCAGGTCCCTTTTGACCTCTGCTCTGTGCAAGTATCACAGAGCTCTTTAGCTCTGCCAAGCTGCTCTGTTCACAAGCCTCCTACCCAAAGGCATTCAGAAATCTCTTGTTCTCTGCGGACTGGCAAGCATACCACCGGGGTCTGCTAGTCCCAGGCTTTTCACTGCTTGTACTGCCATTGACATTTCTCATTATCTTGCACTACCTTCAGCATTATAGCGTTCTCCTCTAGATCTAGGAGGTTCTTGGGGCAGGAAGTACTAGCCTAAAGGATAAACTGATCTCTAGGCTCTTCTTTATTGGAGTGAAGTCTCCTCAACTTCTGGGGATTAACCCTTTTATTCCATTTCAAGGTATGGCCACAAGCCAACCAATCCCTGCAAGGTAATGCCTACTTTATATTCCCTATTTACATAATGACATAGTGGTTACACATTCGGCTGCTACCTGCAAGGTCAGCAGTTTGAAAATACCAGCTACTCTGTGAGAGAAAGATGGGGTTTTCTAGTCCCATAAAGAGCTACACTCTTGGAGACACAGTGGCAGTTCTACTTTGTCCTATAGGGTCCCTATGGATTGGCATTGACTTGATGGCAGTAAGTTTGGTTGAAGTTCATTTACATAGTAAATGGACCAATTCCAAGGTGTGTAAAAGCGACAGAGCAGGAGGCCAGCCAATTATTTTGGGGCAGAAGTATAAATCCAAAGCCAGAAAGACCATTGCCCTGCAGGGGTCATTATAATATAGTAAATCATGAAAATCCTAAAAACTAGAAGTATAACTATAAGACCTCTAACTAAAATGTCTCACCTGAAGTGGCAGAGGATCACTGCTGTTTTGGAAGTCATACTCAAATACAATAGCAGCCAGCACTTTCTCAGACTTATAGTCATACTTAATATAGGTCTCAAATTCAGTCTCTGAAGAAAAGCCTCGAACTGTAGAGAGAGAAAATTTCCCACATAAATGAAAATACCTGACAATCCCTTCTGGGGTACTGCTTTAGACAGGTTAAAGTCTATCCAAATACTTTAAGTGAAAAAAATACAACTATTTCTCAAATTCTAGCATCATGACTAATGGACATTTGAGGCTGAACAAATTTTTAGGTATACCATAGAGCTTAACTACAATCTTAAATAATCATCATTATAAAATCATATATAAAGATAAGGAATTAGTTATTAAGGGAAATGTAAATCAGAATTATTATGAGATTAAAATTATAATGGCCACACCTCATAGCCACTAATATGATAATTTGGGGTGATGTCACCATGGAGAAGTAAGAAGTGCCAGGGTCCCATTTCCCCCCGAGAGATGCCAACAAGCGGAAAGTATAAGAAGTAAACGGGCTGTAAGCAAACAGTCAGGGGTACACAGCAGTCAAGTGAATGCTGCAGGAAGCAAGGAGTGGGTTCACATGGTAGGAAAGTGCTGTGGCTCATTGTTCCTGGCACGGCCCCGTCTCCCCCTCACTGTGGCGGCAGACTTGAATCAGCAGCTCTAGGCCCTGGTTCTGGAAGTAGCTGAACACGCCTAATTCACAAATCATAGGGCTTTCTGTTCTAACATGTCTATAGGCTCCATAAGGATGGAAGCAAACCACTCATCTTTGCCTCATCCATCTTAGACATCACGTGTGGCATAGTGTGAAATGCTGGAAGGCAAACTAAAAGTATGCAGCCACCTGATGCCCCTAAACAGTCAATAAGATACAGAGAGCCAAGCTGAGAAAAAAGGAGAGAGGAAGGAAACCAGGGAAGGATGAAATGGGCCAGAGGTGGGGGATGGCATGGTGGAGATGGATTATTCTTTAGAAATTAACATGTCCCTTCTAGCTGTAATTCCTTCTGTGATGTCTTATAATTCTGGACTCAATGTGTGTGGCTGTAATTCCAGTTTGGAAGCAGTTTTCTGAGATACAGAATTAAGGGCAGGATTAACATGGGCTAAATCCTGATCTTAGGGTGTTAGCCAAGTCACATCCTTGTTTTTCTTGGGGGCATTTCCCCGCTCTGTCCTCTCAGAGTGCTACCTGTAGAAATAGCAGAGGGCAAATTTCTTCTCTGTCCTCTCGGGGGTGCTATGAGTAGAAATCAACTTGATGGCAGTGAATTTGGGGTTATAGTTCATGTTCATAGGAATATTAACATTCAAAATGCTCATGGGAAGTAGAATAAAAAAATAAAGAATTTTCCCATGAACGTCTGAAATCTCCTTATGTAAGAGAATACAGGACTCCTTATCAGTACACCTGTCTTAAAAAAAAGTGATAAAACTGTTTCCTGAAAAAAACAACACATACTTTTGCAATGGTATTTAGGCATTCTTTCTTTCTTTTTAAAATTCATTTTATTGGGGGCTTATACAACTCTTATCACAGTCCATACATATATCCATTGTGTCAAGCACATTTGTACATTTGTTGCCATCATCATTCTCAAAACATTTTCTTTGTACTTGAGCTTTTGGTATCAGATCCTCATTTACCCCCTCCCTCCCTGGCCCCCTTCCTCATGAACCCTTGATAATTTATAAATTATTATTGTTTTGTCATGTCTTACACTGTCTGACATCTCCCTTCACCCACTTTTCTGTTGTCCATCCCCCAAGGAGGAGGTAATATGTACATCCTTGTGATTGGTTCCCCCTTTCTACCCCACCTTCCCTCCACCCTCCCAGTATGGTCACTCTCACCACTGGTCCTGAGGGGTTAATCTGTCCCGTATTCCCTGTGTTTCCAGTTCCTATCTTTACGAGTGTACATCCTCCGGTCTAGCCGGATTTGTAAGGTAGAATTGGGATCATGATAGTGGGGGGAGAGGGGGAGAAGCATCAAGGAACTAGAGAAAAGTTGTATGTTTCATTGTGGCTACACTGCACCCTGACTGGTTCATCTCCTCCCTGCGACCCTTCTGTAAGAGGATGTCCAGTTGCTTACAGATGGACTTTTGAGTTCCCACTCCATTTGTTCTTTGATGCCTGATACCTGATCCCATCGACACCTCATGATCACACAGGCTGGTGTGCTTCTTCCATGTAGGCTTTGTTGCTTCTCAGCTCGATGGCCGCGTGTTTATCTTCAAGCCTTTAAGATCCCAGACGCTATATCTTTTTATAGCTGGGCACCATCAGCTTCCGTCACCACATTTGCTTATGCACCCACTTTGTCTTCAGTGATTGTGTCAGTAAGGTGAGCATCATGGAATGCTGGCTTAATAGCACAAAGTGTTCTTGCATTGAGGGAGTACTTGAGTGGAGGCCCAATATCCATCTGCTACCATAATACTAAACCTATAAATATATTCACATAGAGCTATTTCCTCATCCTAATATATAAATATATTTACATATGTACATGCCTGCATTTAGACCTCTATAGATACCCTTTGCCTCCTAGTTCTTTCCTCTATTCCTTTTACTTTCCTCTTGTCCCACTATCATGCTCAGCCTTCATTTGGGTTTCAGTAATTCTTCTTGGTTACATTGCCCTTGCCTACCAGGCCTCCTACATCCTCCTTGCCACCAATTTTTGGGGTCACTTGTTTTTCCCTTGTCCCTGGGTTTGCTAACACCACTTCCTTTCCCCCTCCTCCCTTTCTCCCATGTGCCCCTAGAACCGTAGGTCCCATTGTTTTCTCCTCCAAATTGTTTATCCCACTATGGTATCTAGATAGACCTGCAGAAAAAATAATATGCACAAAACAAGACAGCAAAACAAAGCAACAAAAGAACAGAAAACAAAACAATAACAAATCAATGACAAAAAAAGAGAAAAGCCTGTAAATAGTTCAAGGTCTGTTTGTTGACCTTTCGGAGTGTTTTGCAGTCGAGTATGATGGGATGCCATGCCCTGGCCCCAAAGCCTATTCTTGCTATTCCCTGCGGACTTCCTCATTCTGCTCCCCTGGCTGTTCTGTTGCACACCCTTAGTCTTTTGCCTTGGTGTGCTGAGGAATTATTTCTTAATAACCCTTTCATTTAGGAGCCATTTTTAATTAAACCAGCAACTATTAATTCCAAGCAAAGCATGTAATAGGAATATTACTGTAGCACAGGCCCAAATTATTTTTAAAAGGTCATGCTGGAAGGCAAGAAAATGAAGCACCGAGGCAGAATCAGACCCATATTCCAGATCCTAATTTCCCTGGGTATGTCTATTTTAAGTATATTTGCAGTTTTACATTTGACTGAAAAAACCATGTTCTGTTACACTTTATTTTGTATTGCTGTTGTTGCGGCCATACATAGCAAAAGACACAGCCATGCAAACATCTCTTCCTGTACAATGAAGTAACATCTTCATCAGGTATTTTCTCTGATTTAACTTTCTTAGTATGTTTGGAGATTCTAACACTTGCTGGCAAAATTTTCCATTTATGAAAAACTGGAAAGGTTGTGGCGTCGCAACACAAGTGGTAAAACACGTCAAAGTGGGCAGTCCACATATTTGAACCCCAAGAAAAGCCACTAATATTATATAACAGAACTCCATTTTTTCCATTTAAAAAACTTATGGATATGGTTTTGATGACATCTCTAAAAGCTCAAATAACTATACATCCTATTTTTGCCCCCTAAATATTGCATCCCTTTACATTTAGATCTATCATTCATTCTGATTCCAGTTTGCATTTGGGAAAATGAGGTCAACGTTGATTGTTGTAGCTAGTGATGTCCAATTATTATAGCACCATACGTTGTAAAGACTATGTTTCTTCCATACCTTTAATTTTACACTTTTGTCAAAAAACATGTCAACATATGCCTGGTCTCTGAAAATAATTTAAGAATATTTTTACAGAAAACCTTAATTTCTAACCTTTTATACTGATGTTTAGATTCTTCTTCACATTCTCAGTTATCTCTTTTGCCACATCAGCCTTAGAAGGCACGTAAATTAATTCCCAGTCTTCTGGATTTTTGAGGAAAGAAGGGAGAGTACTGATGGATCGAGAAGTGTAATTGTAAGGTTCAACAATTTCTGCCTCAAAAACTTCACGGAATATCAAAAGCATACTTCCGAATGCCAACACTATGACAATTTCCAGTACTAGATGAATAAATTGTCTCCTCTAGAAGAGAAAGGGAAAAAAGGATGGTGTTAATTTATGTAAGAGCACACATTTGATACATGACAGACTGCTTTAGCATACTAAGCTTCTGCCAGCTTCACCTTCACAGAGACAGTAGTAACTCTTGGCCTATCTCAACCCACTTTCTACTCCATGCTCCATTTTCTTTCAGGTAATAACTAACTCAAGCAACTTTACAAATTTGAAAAAGTGACTCAGAGCTTCGGTATTGGTGAAGTACAAAACAAGTAAGTACACAAAAAGAGGACACACTGAAGTGTGATGCATAGCCACTTGCCACAAATGTAGGAAAAAATAATTTTTTCAGTCAAAGAGAAAACGAAATGGATTTGACTGCATCAATATTCAAATTTTCTGTTCAATGAGGAACAGTTTACAGGTAAAATTTGGGGAAATATATTTACCTACCTTTAAGGTAAGATTTTTCCATAGGAGTACTGCAAATTGGTTGAATGTCAAAAAGTTCATTCTTCTGAAAAAAATCAACTCTAGGGAGAGAGCAATTTTTTAAAAATGTTAAGTTACCTTATAAAATGTGAACTTTAGTTAAAAAAATTCCTTTTATCCTTAGTCATCTTAGACATCATTAAGATAATTTATTTATATCTCAAAAGGAAACATTTGAGAATTGGATTGTTCCTTTCAAAAAATTATTTTACTTAATAACTAACACATTTCTAGTATATTATAAACACTAGAAAATACAGAACAAATAACAATCAGATGTAGTTAAGATATCATAAAGCTAATAGGCACTGGGTTTTCCTATACCAGGCTCAATTAAAATACTTATTAAGGTGTCAAATATAATAAGGAAACCAGTACCATAACAACAAATCATTAAAAATTATTATGCACAACGATTATCAGTAAGTCTTTTCTTACAGACTTGGAGGAATAACTCCATTCATAGTGCTTATGGGAATATATTAATGAATTACTACTGTAATATTTCTTACACAGCTACTACACAAGGATAAATCATTTGAACAGAGACATTACAGACTGCACACTGCCAACCAAATTCACTGCCATCGAGTCATTTTGGATTCTTAACAACCTTCTATAACTGATTAGGTTTCTTAAGACTTTAAATATTTATGAGAGTAGAAAGCTTCACCTTCCTTCTGCAAAGTGGTTTGCAGTTAGCAGCCTGATATAACCCACTCCACTACTGCAAGGAGACCTAAGTTACAGAATGATTTCAATAAAGTCACTAAATTAAAAAAACCAAAAAAGCAGGCTTATATTCTCCTCCTATTATTGACTTTCCCCCCTATGTTGTTGTATGTGAATAACCAGTTTTTGTTTCTTGGATGGATGCTTGCAAGCTTTTCTATAATCCTCTATTCATCTTCATTAGCCTGGAACAACCAAGGAATAAAGAGTGTCAAGAATAGGTGGAGGATATGAAGTTTGTGGCTAATTGCCTCTATGAACAACTGCCTTCTTTGACAGGAGACCAGAAAAATTTGTATTGTGCCTGGCTACCATTACTCACTTGTCTATGCAAGGAAATTTGAAAGACAGCTACTTGGCCAACTGACTGGAAGAGATCCACCATATATGCATCCAATTCAAAGAAAGGTGACCCAACAGAATGCTCAAACTGTGGAACAATATCATTGATATTGCATGCAAGTAATATTTTGCTAACCACTACAATATAGAGAAACAAATCCAACAGCATTTTAGCAGCACTTTGGCAGGGAACTGCCAGAGGTCTGGGCCAGCTTCAGAAGAGGATGTGGAACAAGGGATCTCATTGCTGATGTCAGATAGATCTTGACTCAAAGCAGAGAAGTTGGTACTAAAATTCATATATAAATCCAAGGGACCTAGAATATGTATAACAATGTTGAGAAAGAATAAATTTGGAAGATTCACATTTCCTGTCTTTAAACTTTACTAGTGGAGTACAGCACTGGCATTAGAACGGGTAAGTGGAATACCATTGAGAGCCAAAAGATAAACTCTAATATTTATGATAAACAGATCTTCAACAAAGGGGTCAACAATTCAACAGGATGAAAATATTATTTTCAAGAACAATGGAACAACTGGCTATCCACATGCAAAAGTATGCATCTTAAACCTTAATTCACATCCCATACAAAAATGAATCAAAATGGCCTACAGGTCTAAATGTAAGAACTAAATCAATAAAACACTTCAAAGAGACCATAGGGCAAAATGGTTGATACGACTTGTACAGTTGTAGTTGGGTGGCATCCAGTCAGTTCTGACCCAGAGCAACCTCATCACATACAACAGTGTGAAACACCACTGGGCCCTTCACCAGTCCAACAATGGTTAAGTTTGAAATGATCATTGCTGCCACTGTTGTTATGACAACATTGGAGTTACACAGAAGTGGGTGCTGAACAGAGGATGGGCAAAAAAGAGAGAGGCTTTCAATGAGATGGAAAGAAAAGGAGATAGATCAAGGTACAGTGGCTGCAACCATGGGCTCACACAACAATTGGGAGGGGAGTGCAGGACGGGACAGTGTTTTCTTACGTTGTTATGTACATAGCATCGCTGTGAGTCAGAAGGGATTCAATGGCACCTTCCACCTCTTACACCAAGGGGATCAGTACTATTTCAATTTTGATGATTTCTAATTTTCCTACCTTCGTATGTCACACATTCTGATTATTAATGAATGTTTGCAACTGTTCTGTCTCATTTTGAGGTGTTTCATATCAGTGAAATCAAGGTCCCCAAAGATTTGCTCGATCCACATCACTAACATTGACTCTATTTCGAGGAGGCAGTCTTTCCCCACTCTTTTGTATGTCTCCCAACCTGAGGGGTCAACTTGAAATATTAGACAATATAGTCCACTATTATTTATATGACTGCCAGTGACTACATTTTCAGAAGTGAACCACCTATTTTCAGGGGGAAATCCTCAAAGTAAACTATAGCGAGACCACAAATTAGAAAAATATAGATAGGAAGTTAGTAACAAGGACAGCCAGAGATTTTTAAACTGATTTTTAGAATATTAATAAGTGTAGAGAGACAATAAATCAGAATAATTGAAAGTAAAATAGCTGAAAATGTTCTCAACTTGATGAAAGACATGAGATTATAAATTCAAGAATTCCTCTGAACCATAAGCAAGACAAATGAAAAGAGATCCACAATTAAGTATAATAGTAAAACTGCCAGAAAGAGAAGAGAGAGAGAATATTTCAAAAGCAACCACAGAAGACAGATAGACGACCTTCATAAAAGCAATTAGACCAACTTCTTATAAAAATACAAACTGGGATGTATTGTGAGTACTAGAGGAAAATAGCTGCCAACCAGGAATTGTAGACCTAGAAAAAGACAGTTTTCCAGAGTTAAAAAATGAAATGAAAGCAAAATCAAACAACAGAACTCAGGAATGTCTAGAGGGAGAAGGAGAGTGCACACGGACACTCATGGTCATGGCCACACGCGAAGAGCAAAAACAAGGTACCCAGGATGCGCTACTGTATAAAACGGTAATGTTAAAAGTTTAAGAAATTAAATTATAAACGAAATTATGCAGATGACATTAACAAATAAGTAAAGACAAAGATAACATTCAGATTCTATGGGCTTTCCATTGGCAATGACATGGCAACGAGTTTGATTTTGTTAGTTTATGAATACTATAAAATTTCAAATGAATATTTACCACTTTTAAAAACAAAAGGCACAGTGTAATTTTCTGTAGAACCATAAAATAATAGCCAATGAATGCCATATACCAAATTAATACACCCACCACACACTTACCACCACAGTTAGGTTCCAAAGACCAGGTCATTATATGAAAATGGATAGTATGTGAAAATGGAGGATGACTACATCATTACATGATGCCAACTTACATCATTACATAACTGCCAGACCCCTGAGTATCATGACCTAGCCAGATTGATACATATCCTTGCGCATCACAGCCTCTCACCTCTCGCCTTTGCATTTGTTATTGTATATCCTTAATGTGCAGAACAGGGGGATACAGGTATTGGCCACTTTCCAAAGGTTTGCTTTCTGACACTTTACTTTTATGATACACCTACATGAGTACCCATGTGCCTAATCTGAAAAGAAAATCCAATGAGAATTTTCAGAGTCATTTTCTAAAATGGTGAAAGGTAAAACTAGTGTTCAGTGTTTGTTTAGCAACAACGATGACATTGACAACAGGTACAGAGCAGCCAGAGACAACAGGTATAGAGCACTACCAAGCTCCTTTCCTGGGAGCTGTATGCAGCATCTCAGCATCAATCTACCAGAGCTTTGAACTGTGTCTGTAAACATGGGGTATCAGCATTATTTTAGGTTTTATGTGTTGCTTGATATGATTTAGTACGCTATTTCTTATTTTATTTATTTTTTCAACAGTTTTATTGGCATGTAATTTACATATCACAGAATTGAGTAGTTCAATTGTTCAAACAGCCATCCTAGAGCATTTCCTCCCCCCATGGTTGATTCACCCCCCCAAAAGTAAGCTATTTTTTAGATTTGGGAACACTCAAATTTTTTGCCCACAAAATTAATGATAATTGCTTCTTTGCTTTATTACATTTCAACTAACAAAATGTTTCTTAGGAACACTACATTTGGATAGCAAGGGAAACTGTACTTTTTACTAATGTCATAAATGTGAAATATAAAACAAGATAGATGATAAGTCAGTAAATGATGAGTAGGTGTAGAAAAAGGAACCCAGGTGGTGGTGTGTTTCTCATTGGATAAACGCAAGATCAGCAGTTCAAAGCCACCAGAAAGATGAGGCTTTACTGGGTAGTTCTACCCTAGGGCCTCAATGTAACAAAATAAGCTGACAAAAAAATCAGTTAAAGATAACAAAATACTTGAACACCATGATAGGTAAAGCTATAGAATGTTACATAAAAAGCGAAAAAACATATATTTTTGAGTAATTAATAGAATGAAAGAGTAAAATGTTAGATATTAGCCACCCCAAAAAATCAACACATTTATTTAATTGGGCAAAAGTGTACTCTCTAACTGCATGGCCAGCAATCAATAACAAAATATTTGAAAACAATCAATATGTTCATATATCAAGTAAGACATTTTTTTATACATCACATGTCCAAGAAGAAATCACCAAAGAAACTAGAAATTCTTTCAAATGATGTAATAACCAAAATCAAACCCATTGCCATCAAATCATTTCCAAATCAAAGCTACCCGATAGGATAGAACTGCCCTGTCGAGTTTCTTTACAGAAATTACCATCTTATTTTTTTACCCCCTGAGGAGCAGCTGATGGATTTGAGCACCCAATGTTGTGGCTAGCAAGCACTTTAAACACTACACCTCAACTTGAAGGGCTATTGCACTTATGAAAATATTATAGCTCTAAGGGTCTTTATAACGCTAAATGCAAATATTAGAAAACAATAAAAGGTAAAACATCAACAAATTAAGCATTCATCTTACGGAATTAG